AAAATAGTTCTAAAGCATTTGTTAATCTTAGTTAATGTTAATCTAAATATTTTACTGCCAAAATTTTAACTAAGTCTAAAATCAAAGTTCTATCTGTTAACATAAATTAATAAACTACACCTAACATGAACTAACAAAGAACAGTTGTATTTTTTATTAACTAATGTTAATAAAGATGAAGTACTGTAACTAATGTATTGCTCATTGTTAGGTAATATTAATGCAATAAATAACCTTAACTAATGGAACCTTATTGTAAAGTTTTACCAATAAATGTGGTTCTTTTGAACTTTCTATTAATCAAAGAATTCTGAAAAAAATGTATTACTGTTTCCACAAAAATATTAAGCAGTACAGCTGTTTTCAACATTGATAATAATAAGAAATGTTTCTTGAGCAGCTAATCAGTAATTAGAGTGATTTCTGAAGAATCACTTTATTTCAGCTTTGCCATCACAGGAATAAAGTACACTTAAAAATATATTCAAATAGAAAACTGTTATTTTAAATTGTAAAAATATTTCACAATATTAATAAATAGACTTCTTTCACGTCATTTAAAAATGTTATTGATCCCAAACTTTTAAACTCTGGTGTGTGTATATATATTTGAGTGGCATTTATAGTTCTCCATACAGTACATGCTTTTTTCCCCTTCTTTTTTTTCTTCATTAAATCACAGCAGTAATTCTTCTGTTTAACTATGAAGTTGTCTCTAAATTGTCTTTTTAGCAGGGCGTCTGCTTGGAGCTTAAACTGTCAATAGAACATAGTTGTTTTGAACCCAGAACATTTCATGAATACAAATGTTTCACAGTTTCTTCATCTTATGTGTTTGTATTAAAACAGGATGATAAGGGAAAATTCAACTTTGATGAAACTGCTGTACGTAATCCAGAAACAGGGGAACTGGTGAGTTGGTTACCTTGTCATCCTGTTCATTACTGGATTCAACTGTCCTTTACCCTCTTTATGAACCTTGCGCTGCCAATCACAGTCATAAAATGGACCTTTCGGCTTTCAGATCTCGAGCTGGTACAAGGGCAGCGAGACATGGGACAGCAAGTTCTCCACCATCGCCTCGTCCTATGAGGAGTGTCGGGCTGAGTGTGTAGGTCTCTACCTGTGTCTCAACAAACAGGTGCTCAGGTGAGTCACTGAACCTTTAGTCACTTCTGTGTGGATTCACTCAGTGATGAATGCTGAGCAATTTTTGTGTGTGGCAGTATTTTCGGGCATGAAGGGGAGGATGCAGAGGAGGTGGTGTATGTGAACTGGCTGACCATGGTGCGTGCTGGCCTGCTAGGCCTGGAGTTCTACACGCAAGAGAGCAAGAGCTGGAGACAGGTGAGATTTAGATGTGTGCCTGTCCAGGAATCATTACTCTTTTGCTTGATTATCTTCTCGTCTTGACATTGTCCTGGCTGTCATAGGCACACATGCAGGCCCGGTTTGTGATTTTGAGGGTTCTACTGGAGGCTGGAGAGGGGCTGGTTGGTCTGAAGGAGTGCACTGGGACAGATGGACGACCAGACGCTGTCATAACACTCGACCGCAGCAAGATCAACACAGTGGGCAAGAGCGCCATCCAGAGGTTCCTCTGTAAACTGCAGGTACAGCCAGTTTACTGTTCAAACGGAACTAGCGTCCTGCTAACTAAATTATACTGCACTGCATACCTGTTATTAAAAATAGTATGAGAAACAGAATACATTATACAATAGAAAACGTTTCCAACAGTAGTATGACCACATGACATTGCATTTTAGTGAGTTATAGAAATAAAAGGCTTTATATATATATTAGTCTGTTTATTTAATGTGTTAACCTTTGGTAAACTGATACAGTAATGTGACTAAATCACTGTTATTTTACTATCTTTTGGGGTTTTCACAGTGGGATCCTAGGTTATCTTTATTCATGTTTCACACCTGTGTGTTTACCCGGGGTTAACAATTAATCCTGGTATTTATAAGCTGCTGTTTCACACGGTACATTCCTAAACCCCGGGTTAAAGTCCTTATTTGCATATTTGTGGTGTCAGTGTTACTGACTTGTCAAACGCAGCACGTGACCTGTTTACATAAAGGCTCTAATATTGCGCGTCCTCATATTACACATTGCTGACTGTAATATTACACATTGCTAACTGTAATGCTGACTGCTAAGTTTTTTCTGAGTGAACTTTTCAAACTATAAAGGTAAGAATGATGGTCTCTTCGCTCCAATTGTCGCGTTTTCCATTGCGTTTTGATATTTTTCCTGTTATACGCAGAAACGACTGTTTATATACATACAATACAATATAAGGCACGCGATTGGTTGTCGGTTGCTAAGCATCTAGTTGTAACATTGTAACACGCATCGTTTCACACTGTACAAGTTTTGCGCCGCAATGCGGAGTTGACACTGCAAAAGCGGTGCTAACCCTGCTTCAGAGGAGGGTTTCATAACCCCGGGTGAAAAGTGGTGCTAAACCCGCATCTAAATTGTAAAGTGTAAAACGCTCTGGCGTTAAAAGTGGTGTTTAGAACGGTGATAACCTGGGGTTAAGCACAGTGTGAAAAGCCCTATTAATGTACTATTAGCCTATAAATGGTTTTAATTTGAATGTTATTATTTTGTCTTATTTAAAGTGTTAGTAATTTTGTGTTGTGTAATTTTATTAACTTTAATATGCCTATATGGTTTTTATTAATTTATTTCAGTTTTAGTCATTTAAAACTAAACAAAAATAAGAAATGCAACTAGCTGAAATAAAATGTAAAGTTTTATTAATATTTTATTTCAGTTAATGTGAAGTATTTCACTGTGTGACTTTTTCTTTTTCTCATAATTGTTTAATTTTATTTATTTATTTATTTTTACTCTGAAATGAAGGGACGTTCACACTACACTTTTCATTCCTTCCATTGACTTCCATTCATATGCATATGAATGCTGGAGACTGGAAATAGCTCATGTGAAAAAGTTTGGCATTTCGGTGCGTTCCATAGTTCAAGTTTGGTGAACTCTTGGTGAACCTTCAAATTCATATCACGTGAAGACGTGACCAATAGAAGAAGACGTGACCAATAGAAGATCAATAAGTCACGGCGGGAATTAAAAGAACACACATATTTTTTGCAGTAAAGTGGAGTAGATTGTATAGTTTTACTTTCTGGATTTATTATTATTTGTTATAGGTTGAATTTACGTTTTTATCAAAACAGACGCCGCAGAATGTGACGTCATATCACGACCGTTGCCGTGTCCGTAGAACTTTCGCGTGCTCAAAGTCTAGTGTGACTGGAGCTTGATGGAACAGAAACGAGCTTCCATAATGATTTGCTTTTTCTGTAAAGGTGCACAAGGCGACAGCCGATGTGGAGGGAGGACGGGCTCTGTATGAAGGATACTCTGCTGTAACTGCTGACGGCACCCACGATTTCCTGCGCCTCAGAGAGACGGTTCTGCTCCGTAAGGAAGCTCGTAAGATGTTTGTCCAGGCTAACACCTTCTTCAAAGGTTTGTGTTTAGCCTCCTTCCTTCAGCCATATATTAAAAATGACCATTCTTGTATAATCAGTGACAGAAACACAGATACACATACACACATGGAATAATGTGCTACTGTTTGTGTTGTAGATGACGCTGTGAAGCTAGTTGAGTATGAAGGCAGCGCTGAAGGGCTTATCCAGTCCTTCGTTGAACGCTTCCCTGATGATGCCGAGGAAGTAGAGGCCCAGCTGCTGGAAATGACCCGCACGGATTCCACCTGCTGGTGCTGAGAGGACACAGTGCTGTGGAAGTCCTCTCAGACGAGTATTGGACCACACTGAGTCACAGCAACTTTCGGAAATGAACAAAAAGCTGCAGAGTACACAAGGAAGGGACTGGTAATGATTATAAAACCCTTCACATGTAGGAGGAAGGAAGAACCGCACTTAAACACGGGAACATAACCCCAAGTGCTTTACCTTCCCACTATTTTTCTTTATTTTTTGTCTATTCACTTCTAAACAAAGGCAATTCTGATAAGAGTTTTAATAAGAAATTTCTGTTCCTGCTTCGAATCCGACCACAGCCCACGCTTCCCACATAGGCATGTGAAAGCGCTGACAAGAGTGAACTTGCTGTGTGAGGGCGGGACTTATGTAATCACAACACGTAACACACTTTCTCAACTTACTTTAAAATGGAAACATACTCTATGCTAACTACAGATCATATCTAGTGTAGAGTTAATATGCTGATTCACTGATATCTAGGAGAAATGGTTGCATTCATTCTTAAGAATATAAGTTGTTCATTGGTTTACAGGCTGTTCGGTTCCTCAAAGTGTTCAGTGTGGACTGTGAAAATCAACAGTCCCTACCAAATAAAACCAATTATTTCCGAACATATTGTATTGTTGTTTACTTTCAAAATACCAAAACATTTGTACAATGCATTTCATATAAATATTATCATGATACAAGGTGAACAATAAGATAATATCCAGTAACTCAATACTGACCATCTCATAAATGAGAAATTTCCATAACTGGTTAATTACCCACACAGTTTTTACATTAGAAAAGACTAAAAGGGGGAAAAAAATTTAAAACTGAAAGTCGGGATACTGAATAAAGTCATTAATAACCAACCTATAATAAAACAAGAGGAAATGCCTTATAATTTAGCCCAATGACATCTCACACAACACCTGAACACTATCTATAATTACCAGTAATGGACATAAAAATAGGCTGATTTTACATCTTGCACTCTTAAAAATTTAAGTTTCAAAAGAGGGATTTTGCTGCAATACCATAGAAGATCAATTTTGGCGTCCCACAGAACCTTTCAGTCAACTGTTCTTCAAATAATTGTTTTTTTTTCTTCTTAGTGTGAATAATATTAATGAATAATAATATAAAGAACCTTTTTTACTATAAAGAACATTTTGTGGAATGAAAAGGTTCAGTGGATGTTGAAGGTTCTTCATGGAACCAGATGCCAATAAAGAACCTTTATTTTCTAAGAGTGTAATCTTGCAGTCAACATTAAATTAATTCAGTGGAAATACAGCTTAAATCATTTTTGAGCTCCGTTACAAGCATATTATTATTATTATATCAGCTTTTATGTGAGAAACCAGGCATGCTGTATAAAATACAGAATTTGCTATGACCTACTTGTAGCATTCAAAAAAAGCCCTATATTATGAAGCCTCCTCTGTGAGATCGACTGCGCCCCCTCTGTTCAGCTTCTGGGAACTTTCAGCCTGATTGGACACCTGGTAAATAAGGGGAACCCCACTCGCGCCCATGCTCTGCAGGTCTTGAACCTGGGTGTTGGACGGGAGAGGTGTTAACTCCCCGTCTTTCCTCCAGTACAGGCTGTAATCCTCCGGCCGGTCCACCCCAAACTTCAAAGCACAGAGCTGAGCCATAGCCTCACCGTCGAGCGCAGTCTTCCACATTAGAGTTTTCACTATGCTACGGTCATCATCTTGAAACAGCACCTTTATAAATCTCTGTGGCATAGAAACAACACATAGAGCTCTTGTTTTTTGTTGCTACTTTTGATATAAACTTTAATGCATGATTCAGCAAGTGATGATGTACTTTGCTTTGTTCAACCAGTATATCTGACCTGGGGCAATTTGTTGTCTTTCTGATTTGTGGTTTCGTTGCTCCGACGCCGACTCCATTCTTTCAGAGACTCTCTGGCCTGGTTTGTGAGGCCGTTGGGTGGCACATCCTCTGGCTGACTCTGAATCAGACTCAGACTGGCATAGAGACTTGTCAGATAGTACCCCCCTTCAAGACAATAATAACAATGATTAATAATAATACAAATAAACAATAATAATTAGCTAAAGCATTTATCCATACCTTCTCCTGTAAGCCAAGAGCTTTCCAAAAGTTCCATCATATACTCCACCTCCAGAGAGATCTCTGGCATATTGCACAGGACCATCACATAGGATAGAGCGGGCAGGAAGTCATCTGCTCCAAATTCCTGACCTGTTTTTTTTTAAATACAGATAGCAAGGACTCATTACATTGATCAATAGTGACCGTAAAGACGTTTATAATCTTGCAAAAGATTTCTATTCCAAATAAATGCCATTCTTTTGAAGAATCCTGAAAAAATTTAGCATGGGTTCCACAAAAAAAACTTGGCAGCACAACAGTTTTCAACATTGATAATAATAAGAAATGTTTCTTGGGCAGAAAATCAGCATATTAAAATTATTTCTGAAGGATCATGTGACACTGAAGACTGGAGTAATGATGCTGAAAATTCAGCTTTGCATCACAGGAATAAATTACATTTAAAAATGTTAACAATATTTCACAAATATTACTGTTTTTACTGTATTTTTTATTCAGCCCTGGTGAGCATTAAAGACTTTTTCAAAAACATTTTAAGTCCCCCTGTGGTGAAAATCCAGCTTTTAATGTTGTTTATATGTCTATGTGGTGTTGTTAATATGCTTTAAGACAAACCATGTGCAAATTCATGTCAACACCATAGATTGGACCAAAGACAGACTCAAAAACACGGTTTAAAATCCCTGGTGTTTCTGACGTCACAAACTACCTTGTAACCAATCACGTCAACGTGTGATCATCAATGAGTGGATCTCTGAGCTGGTGTGAGTGAGTTGAGGCGGGGATAATTTGCATATTCATAGAACCGTGTATACTAAATGAGGCAACGTTGTAGTTACATTCAAGCTATTTTAAAGGAAAAAAAGTTTATGTAATTTTGGTGATCAAAAATGAGTTTTAAAGGGGTCTTGAACTTGCTTTTTAAATTGTTTTATATTGTTGTCTGAGGTCAACTTATGACGTTCGCTTGGTTTTTACATTCAAAAACATCCAAATGAATGAGTAATAGGCTATTTTCTACTCTAGTTTTGAGCCTAGCTCAAAAACGCTCGGTTTTTATGGGCGTCTCGCATTGAAGACTTGGAAGTAAACACCCACTGCTGTGAGTGGATAATAGTTTCGTGTAATGCGCGAATCGGTGGGCGGGGCTAAACCGGCCGTGTTGAAGTAGGCGTTGATCTTCTTCTGCGGGGGTGGAGTTTTATCCTCTTTGTCGTCATAGTTCCCCACTTTGAAAAACGAGTCGTTTGCTGAGCCTGGTGTCAATAAAAGCTTTTATTGGACTAATAAGGACGTTTTCAGTTCTGAAACTTACAGGATATTCTTATAATTTGATGACCTCTTAGATGTCAAAAGCTCAAGGAAAATTTGATTTCTCAGTTCATCACCCCTTTAAGGGATACAATTATTGATTACAGGGGGACTTTAAAAAATATCTTACTGACCCCAAACTTTTGAACGGTAGTGTATGTGCACAAATAAATCTACATGCATAAAATAAACCAAAGCTATTTAAGACCTTCATTACCTGATTTGTTTTTCATGGCTTTGTAAATGAGTTTGCAGATCTGCAGGAGTAGCAGCACTTTGTCAATGGGTGAGTAAGCCCGCTGCATTAGAGTCAACTTGTGCTTAATTTTCTCAATGCCCTGGGCGTCAGGAACGCCCACCTGAACCCCAAAGAGCTTCTGCGGTGAGGCTCCTTTGGCTCTTTGCAAGTTGTCCGTCATTCTCTGGAAGGAACCATCTTGTTTGTGCAGGGTCCGAAGAGCCGCATCAATCTGAGGCTTCAGAGGCTTCAGCACACAGCGGAACATGGCTTTCTCCAGCGCTTGGTCTGCACACAGGAAAATACAGTGGTATTTCACCATTTAACTTGTTTGAATGATACTGACAACATTATTACATTAAATCATACTGATTTAAATACCTTTCTCGTTCTCAGTCAGAAGAGTTTCTATTGGAGGTTCAAGCTCTCCACACTCCAGAAGAAACGCTTTGGCCTGACTGATGAAGAGGCGCAAATCCTGCAGCAGCTGTACAGGAGAGGTCAAGCACTGGGGCTTCAGTGCCTCTCTCTGCTGCCGCAGGAAGTCCTGAACCAGAGCGCCAAACGCCATGCGGCGATCACGAGACAGGTCCTCCACCATCCGCGCCACTCGCTTCTCTGGGGCGAAAAAGGATATGAAGGCGGCGCTCATCTTGCGCAGGGCGGACATGGACTTCCTGGGAGGCGACATAACCGGGTTGCTAGTTCCTCGCATGAGGGGAGGACGCTCGGGACTCTCCTCAGTCTCGTCGAGGCTGCTAAGCGAACTGCTGCTGTCCAGCTCACTAAGGGACGGTGCGTGTCGCTGTTCCAGAACAAGCTCTTCCTCCTCATCCTCTTCTTCTTCCTGTCCTTTCTGCTCCAGGATTTTCATCTGGGCCTAAAAGCGCAAAAAGACAGTCAAGAAAACACATAAACTAAACTAAAATGTCCCGTAAAATCAGTGCTGAAATGTCTCTACCTTCTGAAGAGCCTTGGGCATCTGATAGTCGTCTTCTTCAGCAGTGGGTGAAAGAGTAGGGGTGACCATGGTCTTCTTCTGAGACACTACACAAGGTTGCATATAGTCTGTGTCTTCCTGCTCAGTCTTCTTGATAGCTTCCTCACCAGCCTGAACTGCAACAGGTGGGGTCGTCTTTTTTAAAGCTTTTAATCTTGCTTTGCATTTGGCTTTAGCCAGTAACGGTGGTGGAGGTGGTGGGATGACAGGTGGTGACAGGGGGCTGGAATTTTCAGTGGAGACTCGAACCTTTATGCTGGTTTTGAAATGATGACGTCTTCGCATGGCGTTGCGACCAGGGTAGTCTTGTAGGAAGAGGGGGTTGACGAAGCATAAACCTTTGCCTCCCCCGTAATTCAGCTCACAGGGACTCCGTGTTTGGATTGGGCAAAGCTCCTGGAATGGGGTGGGGTTTAGGTTGATGGGCGCTGAGCAGTCTTCTGGGCTTGGAGTTGGGGGCAAGAGTTTGTCAGCGGCAGGAGGTTCATTACGAGGACCTCGGACATTTAAGTGAGAACTCCAGAACTCTGTGGAGTACAGAAGGGCATCGAGATTATGATGAACATGTTTTATGATGACATTTATGAACTCTAAAATCGTTTGAGCAGAGGTGGACAGTAACAAAGTACATTTACTTGAGTACTGTACTTAATACACTTTTTGAGTATCTGTACTTTACTTGAGTATTATTTTTTTCTGGAAACGTTTGACTTTAACTTCACTACATTTGAAAGACAAATATCATACTTTTTACTCCACTACATTTCTGTCAAGGTCCTTGAGTAGAAAGTAGTAACGTCAGTCAGGGCATGATTTTGGTTGGAAATGAAAGTCGGGATGACGTCAGAACTCAACGTCAGATTGACATCAACATCCGACGTCGGACAGACGTTGGATTTTGGTTGGAAATGAAAGTTGGTTTGACGGCAGAACTCGACTGATGTTGGTTTCTGACGTCAACCCGATTTTCATTTTCAACCACAATACAACATCTGTCAAACATTGGAGATTAATGTCAAGCTGGCGTTTGATTCTGACATCAACCTGATTTTCATTTTCAATGTTGGGTTTGGTCTTTTAAATGCGAATTTTGTCATTGTTTTGGAGCACTCTAGCTTATATATAACAGTAAGGCTAACATATTCATACTAAAAGCCAAAAAACTTTAAATAGGGCACTATTTGCGGGAACAAGCATTTGCGTGTCTGAAACCATTGTGGACGTTATTGAGTGCACTTATTCAATCTCACATTCAATCCCACTACTGGAACTGTGAAACGGAATTTTCAGCATCATTACTCCAGTCTTCAGAGTCACATGATCCTTCAGAAATCATTCTAATATGCTGATTTACTGCTCAAGAAACATTTCTTATTGTAATGCTGAAAACAGTTGTGCTGGTTAATATTTTTGTGAAAACAGTGTTGCAGTTTTTTAAGGATTCTTTGATGAATAGAGCGTTCAAAAGAACAATATTTATTTTAAATTGACATCTTTTGTAACATTATACATTTCTTTACTATCCCCTTTGCTGAATTTAATGCATATTTGCTGAATAAAAGTATTAATTTCTTTACCAAAAAAAAACTGACCTGAAACTTTTGCCACTTTTTTTTGTACAATACAAAAATAAAATCTACAAGAACCTATGCTCTACCTATAATTCTGGGATTGGTGTATAAGCATCATAAAATGCCCGACAGAAAGCGCCTTTCAAACCTTCAATTCATTTCAACAGATAATCAAAGTTGTACCTACCCACACCCATATGAGAGATTGACTCCAACTGTTTGTGTGAGGAAGACTTGGCTATTGCTTCAGGCAGCTCCAGAGTGAAAGGAAGCACATCCCTAAAATACAGGTCCAAAATAATGGAATAAAAATATCATATTTAGGGAGTGTCTTGCTGTTGTTGTAGATAGAACATAGTAAATACTAATGCATACCGACTGACACAGTAGAAGGCAACGAGTCTGCACAGATCTGGGAAACTGATAGCTGAGCTTTCTAAAGAGAAGGCTGTTAATAAAAAGGAAATGGTTTAGGCACCAAAAGGCGATGACTAATGTTGACATAAAATTAACAGAATAGTATGGCCAACTAATTGTACTAAATGTATTTTTCTTTTCAAGCTGTATTGCTTACTTGCTTAAAATGTATTCAAGATGACAAGAGTAATTTATTAACAAACTCACCCGAGTCCTCTTCTCGAATGACAACCTGTTTAATGAAGGACGGCGTGCTGTCATCCGCCAGCCGGACACACAGCATTTTTTTCTGTGATGTACTGGACTTGCGCACCAGGAACGTCTGCAAGGTAACACAAGTTTCCAAGAATGGTGTTAAAGTTTGATCGTAGGCTATCTGTCTCTTTTCAAAGCAGGTGGTGTTTGGAATGTGCTTGCTCACCCCGGGTGGCTCACGCCGCAGGATGTGTAGAGCTGTAGCCGAGTTACCCGAGAGCTGGAGCCACACAGGGTGCGTCAGCAAGAGCCGGTCCAGTACACTGATGCTCCTCTGGGATCCTCTCTGTGGACAAGCCCGTCGGTCCCCCACGGGCCGAGAGTCAGGATAGTCGTACACAGGGTCACCCTGCATCTTCTGAATGACAGCGAGATCTCAACTCCTTTGACAATGAATCTCTGTTTCTCCTCTTTGTGAATGTTCACATTGGCAATTGACAAAAAAAGGAAGTTCTGACCAGTTTTGGAGGATGTCTGTAAGTCAGTGACTTAGACCTGTCTTACAGTAAATTATTCATGTACACATCTTAGTTTTTTCTCATGTGTGTTTCTCATACATTTTGTCACTGTTTTTCCTAGAATGGCTATTTTCACACAATCATGTGCCTACTTATTCCTTCTGAACGTTGCTTTTCAATGGCTATGGGAAACTCCCTCGCTGGCTCTGTTTTTCTCCCGGCCATGTGAGAACGGTGTGTCACAGTCTGACTAATACCACATCTCTACCGTTTTTGTTCTGCATTCACACAGACCATTCAAAAAACACTTGCATTGTTCTTAAAGAAGAAACAACAGAAGCATCATTTATACCAAATGTGATGCAAGGTGAAGAGGAACTGAGAATTACATTTTCGAGAAGTATTAGTGTAATAAAGGCATTTTATCATGACGCGAATCAGTTCTATTTAAAAAATACAAATACAAAAAATACAGGAGTGGATACATTATTTGAAAACTTTCTTTTTTCACTGATACATCTTATATAAGGAACACTCTTTAGTATCTAATGCTGACTCTTAAAGTTACTTGTTCACTAGTTGAGTGAGGTTAGGTAGCAGGTTGACTTTGTGTGGGCCAGTATGGAATACTTTTTGGCAAGAGCCAATGGCTGCTATGGCAACAGAGGCTTACATATTCCACTGGGCATTCCTACCCACGGACACACACGCCTCCACTGTTAAAATTTAGGAAAGGCCAGATACCTTTTCCAAAACTTCATTCTACAAACTAGGCTCAACTGAGAAGAACTGATAAAATGTAGTCTAAATACTTTGAATGCAAGTGAATGCAAGAGGCTTTTTGATAAAAGTGTCTGCCAAAATGCATAAATGTAAAGGTTGTTTTTTTGCAAAAGGTAAATAAGTATTATTATAATTTTGACGTTACTTGGAAGATAAAGAACATATGGGTAAAAACTATATTAAAAGAGTGATATATTAAAACTTTCCTCTCAAGGGACTATTTGGTTCCTTGTAGAAAAACAATCCCCCAGAATGTTGTAGATTCATTAGTAAAACAAAAGGCCAACTGAGATATGCCTCTAATAATACTTTATAATAATATTTTAACAAGTCTGCTTATGGGGCAATAAAGTATGAAACGTGAAAAAAAGTGTAGCCTTTTCTACTAATACTTTAAGTGGTCTAACCACTACTTGCACCTTGAATACGTCTGTGTGTACTTAATTAGTAGTTGACTTAATTATTACTTTTAAAAAGAAAGAAAATATTTTTAATTCATGACTCATATTTTGCAAATATCATCAAGTTTTTAAGTCATGAGTCAAAAAAACTTTTTATTTGGGTTACTACATTTGACCAAAACAAAACGTATAAAATGTTTTATTTATCTTTTAATTAATAAAAAAATCTAAATATGGGATGTTTAATAAATTATTGCATGAAAACAACGTGGATTCCTGGTTAGGCCGCACTACTTTTGATTTGGCAAATATTGATTTGGAAAAACTAGTTTTTCAAAAGAAAAAATAAATGCTGTAACAAATGAGAGTATGCCAAACACCTTAGGCCAACATCTCTCCTTGAACATTCTTCTATGTCCTTAACCATTCCAATGGTGAATTCAGTTTTAATGGATAAATAAGGGTGGGAAAACTGTAGTCCTGTCCGCCTGAGCTCTGAAATGATTGCTGCCTCATTTATGCCTTGGCATGAGCAGAGCAAGTCCAGACTGGTAAGAAGGAAGCCTTTAAGTATGCACTGGGAAAGAGCTGCTATTATCTCTGTTCTGTAATGCAGGCTGAGGTTTTTTAATTGTTGCCTGAACCAGATATTTTCAGGAATTGTAACTGGATACAGCACTAAAGGGAATGACAGTGGATATGTCTTTTTATTAAAAAAATTATAAAAATGTACTGTATAAAGTAATAAGTACTTAGATACTGCGCCATTTTTATATAAAGACTGGGAACAGTATAGCCAGAGTAATGGGATGCATACATTACATAGCAATTTACTAATGATTCAACAACAGACTAATAATAATAATAATAAATATAAACAGATGAATGTGTTTAAAAGAATGTAACTGCTACAAACGTTATAAAAGAAACATATTTGAAACAATATAATTTGACAGCCCAGTCCAATAGACTACGCGACTTCCGCAAATGTGTAGGTTAATATAGGCTCTATGTGTGTGTGTTTAGATTAGTATTAAAAAAAGAAACACTGATACGTGTAAAATAGGAGAATGCAATAGATAAATCTTGACAATGCGAATCTTTGTCAATATGATCAGTGAAAAGTCTTTATTAAACACAATCTTCATTATTTAACACTCTCAGTTCTCTAGAAGAGGGTTAATGTTTTACTGTACTGTAAATATAACCTGGCACTAAAACACTATAGTCATAACACATGACCATATTTAAAAGAGATAGAGAAGAAGAGCCACTTACCTCTGTTCATCAGTCGCTGCTATTCAAAAAGAACAAACTACACTAAGTTACTTCGTGACTTTTCCCAAAGTGTCAGATCCATGAAATGCTCTGAATTACTTTTGGAAATGTGGAAAGTCCGGGAATATATAATTAGGGGGGTTTTGCTTGTTATTCCATCATGCACACGTTTAAAAAGATACCAACAGGAGTCTGTGTGAAACTGTGATTCACACTGTCTGTTTCGTCTTCTCGTACACATGTGTTTTCCAGGCGAGCGCGTTCTCGTACATGACAAGTAGTGTTTCATACCTGGGCATGCGCATGCGTTGCTGTGGCGCGCAATAACATACGAAGGAACTACGAACACAAAGAGAGAGAAATATAATTATATAATTTATTGCCATGTTTTATGGGGACTTTATGTTTATGCATCTGGCTGCCATTCAGTTTCTCTTTGTGCATCCCATGCACGTATTTCCAATACTTGAAAAACAACGTTCTTCCCTATGAAATTGTGAACGTTCCCTATTTAAGTATAACTTAGCTACTTTATAATGACAAATTCCGGATCCTTCCACCTATTATTTGCACTCGCACGGACCGGACGACTGTCACACCGTCAAACAGTCGGGAAACGGATATGAAGTCTGTCCACCGCGTTCGGTAAGAGAGAGGGTCGACAAAACATTTTTGTCGTGTTGATAACTTAGCGCTTCGACTCTATTCATTAGCTTTTGGTCGTATTTGTTCCCGCTTCCCCTGAATTGTTTTAACAGTGAGTATGATGAGCGTTCATTTTTGTATTTCCTTGTTTATGGTTGCTAACAAGCTTAGCGCGTGGCTAGCAAACTACGCGCGTGCTAATTATGCGATTTTTAAAATTCCTTTAAGGCTTATATGAACACAAATGGCGCGTCTTATGAGGCTGGCAGGTGCGAATGTTTCGAGGAAGCTGTTTAAAGTCAGCTGGCTAACACTATGCGTGTAAATCACCGCCAGTTGACATTAGCTAAACTCGGTGAGCTCAGCGCTTTCTAGAAGCTACTGCGCAGCTCAGATTAGCAGCGCGTCCCCGCATCTGGCGGGCTACAATGTTTTTTGTTAAATAACTGTAATTGTCGGAGATTTTTGTATTTTGCCTTTTTCTATTGTGTCTATCACCACATACGAGTGGCGAGACGAACTATTATGGGGCTTTTCACACAAAACGCGTTTTTGCGTTTAAAAATGCGAAATGCATGTTAGTGGAATTAATAAGCCACCCAAGGCCTAGAGACGCGGTTTTTAATGTTAAAACTTTTTGAACTTAAGTCAAATCATTTAAAATAAATAATTTAAGCACAACGGCCAAGCATATTTACCACATTTACAAAAAACAATGGAAAAGTGGGCCAGTGGAGTGGAAACCGTGTGTAATTTGATTTTCGGTGTCTCGGTGCTCTTTATTAAGCTGAACCTATTCAATTTACGTTTGATAAGACCTCCTCAAATTTCAGACCCGTTTAGTTTTAGTATGAATTGGTTCTTGCCGCCAAAAAGTAAGAAATAAGGCTTGTTCCCTATTTCTAGGTATTCTGGGGTGCAATGGACGACAGCAACGCAGTGAAGCTCTTTGTTGGGAATCTGGATTTGGAAACCACACAAGATGACCTAATAGCACTTTTTGCCCCTTATGGAGAAGTGGTGCACTTAACTGTACTGAGGCAGTTTGCCTTTGTCCATCTGCAGGGAGAAGGGGCTGCTGACCGTGCCATCCGTGATCTGAATGGTCGAGAGTACCGTGGCCGGAGCCTTGTAGTTGAGGAATCCAAAGGGAGGCCCCTCAATTCCACCAAAGTATTTGTGGGGAACCTGTGTGCTTCTTGTTCAGTTGAAGACCTGTATGAGCTCTTCTCGGCATACGGCAAAGTTCTTGATTGTGACAAAGTAAAGAGTAAGTGTGTTTATAATACACCTGCTTTATATCAGTGCATACATATTGGTGTTATATGACATTACAACTTGTTCTCTTGCAGCAAAGCTCTCCTCTTTAACAGGCTACGCCTTTGTGCACATGGAGCGCAAAGAGGATGCAGATCAAGCCATTGAGGGTCTTCACGGGACCTCATTTATGGGACGTCCGCTCGCAGTGGAGCTCTCGAAGGTACAGCAGACCACAAATAAGGTCCCTTGTGCCAGCTGTGGTGCGCATGGCCACTTTGCAGGAGAATGCCCAATCAACAGGCCTCCCATGGAGCACCACCAGAGTCAGGCTGCTGTCTTAGCTGCAGCTGCTGCCGCCGCTGCTGGGCTTCCTCTTCAGGTGCAGCAGAGTGTCCACAACTCTTTCTACAACACTGCGAGCACTGACCCGACATTTGCAGCTCTGAAAGACTTGACCACTTCCAGGGTTGATGGCAAACCTGTCAGTGCCGCGGTCTACGGGGCCTTGGCAAGTCAAGTCTACAGTGCTGTCGCAGACCAGATGTTCAGCTCGACGACAAGCCAGGCTAGGAATGGCTACCCCACTGAAGGAGAAGCTCCTCCGGGCGCTACCGCAATTAACCCTGCCTACGGAGCAAATTCCTCTCTGTACGGTGCCAGTCCAGCTTATGGGACCATGGGAGGCACAGAGCCTGACCCCCAAGCAATGTTTGAAGCCGCTCGGGCCCGATTCTTTGAGCAGGGACAACAAGTTCTGGCCGAACAGCAGGCTGTGACCAAATCCGACCGAGACCGAAGTCCAATACGGCGCTCGGCCCCATTACTGCCTGACCCGGTTCCCCAGCCGTTCTCCCAGACACGACCCAAACGACGGGCCCTGCTCCCAACACCACCTGGTGGTCCAGAATTACCTGCAGTTAAAAATGGAGACCCAATTGCAAGGTAAAGGCATAATTGTCTTGCTACGTAATGATGCATAAAATATTTTATATATGTATATAAACAATATGAATTAAATATACAATATTATTTATTCTTTCTTCATACTAGGTGCTATGCAGAGTACTACCAACAGTACCAGCAGTTCCAACAGTACCAACAATACCAGCAGTACCAACATTACCAGCAGTACCAGTACAGCTATCCGCCGCCTCCACCGCCACCTCCTCCGATGCCTATGGTGCCTCCAGGCCCAATGGATCCGCAACAGATGGCCGCCCCTGGCACCACAGCTTCACCAAGAGTGTATGAGCCAACTTCAGCACACAAGGAGCCCCTCCTACGCCATCCTGATTACTCTCACCAACACACATCTGAGTCCCCATATCGATAGCCCCCATTACATGAGTGTGTGCACACGTGTATGGCTGTGAAAATGTGTGCGTGCGTCAGTTTTGGTCCTACATGACAAAATAAACTGGAGGAAAGGGATAAATTGAATTTTTATTTTAGTTTCGCAGTTATCTTTCCCCCGCATAATGTCAAATATGTCATTATGTACAGAATGTAGAAGTTTACAAGGCCATTTTGATTCTGAGCCCCTCTCGTTTTTTTCCCCCCTTATTTTTTCGAAGTGCTCAGAATTACATTAGCTGTCAGTTTTATAGATAAAATACCCTTTGACCATTGTGTTGGGTCAAACATTCTCTGAAGTCAAAAGACTGCCTTGTAAAAATAACCTTTTTTTTTTTTTTGTACAGACTTTTGTAAAACCAAGTACGTCAGCTAAGGTACAGTTTTATTAAATTCATGGTTTAGCAAAGGAGCAAGTCTCAGTCGAATATCTTAATCCAAATTGTTGTCAGTATATTGTATTTGGCTTAGACTGATGTTAAATTTCACACCGACTAGGAAGACAGCATAGTTTAGATAGAATATAAAGAGGACCTGTGTGAAGTCTGTGTGTGTGAGTGAGTGAGAACACAATGTTAACAGTTTGGCTGAGCCCTTAGCTTACATGAGCACCACAATCACATGCACATCATACTTATTTTGTATAGTCCTATTTGAGTAAGGGTGGTGCATATGGATATATTTAGGTAAATCCGTACCAAACAAATACACATCTGTACTTAAACGCTCTAACCACTGCCTCACTAGTGCAGATGGTTACGCCTGCCCAGTTCGACTACAATAAAACTGAAATTAAAATCGCCTGTCGCGAAAGAGGTAAGGACAGATTAACTGCAAAAGGGACACCTTTAATTTGTCGCTCGATAGGCATATTAATGTTCTAAATGTTTTCCATTTGGATACCTATATTGACTCTGAATGAGTTCGGGATGTCGTTGTTGCTAAATAGCAAACAGAACTGGTTCTATAGCCTGCCAGTAGCAATTATGCATGTTTTGCAGGATTTAAAGAGCAAACGACTGCCATCTCTGGCCTTGCATCGTTCTCTTACATGGACAGAATACTTGGGAGTATTGACTTACTAGTACGGGTGGTAACCCCTCAAATGTCTTTAAAAGAGAATGAGGTTTTTACGTTCTTGTTTCCTTTGAAAGTAGCCCCATGCAATTACTATTATGTTTCTCTGACCATTTATTTTGTTCACATTATTATAGTCTCTTTATTATTCGAGTCATGTGAAGTTATTTCAGGGGCTTTGGGGTGGAAACAGTTATTTAGAGGGGAGGAGGAGGGGGGGAGGGTGATAAACTTGTTCAGGCCTGACATATAGTTAGTTAAGGCAATTGGTTAAACGAGTGAAAAAACAGTGAAGTGCTTCATACAATTGTATTTTTGTTCTTAAGGAAAAAAATGTGCTGTCCCAGTTTGAGCATTTTAGGCAATTCAATTAAACATACATGTTATAACATTATAAACTGAAAGTGTGTGAATAATTCATCCAGGTTAAAGTCCATGTAACTAGTACCAGAAGTTTCAAACTTTTGTAAAGTATGAAGGGAATCTACTCAAATTCATACTATCGGCAATATATTTTTTGCTAAAATTTCAGTGATACAGATGTTATGACAGTTGAGTAGCTTCCCTTCAGACACAATAAAAGTGAATAATGATTGAAATTGGAAGGTATGATAAAAAGAATGGTTTGTTTAATCATGTTATGTATGTCCTCTTTTCCTAGAATGCCCCTCAGGCAGTCTTCAGTCTTTCATTCCAAAGAAATATGGTGGGGTACACACACAAATCTCACTTAGCACACACAACCCATAATCTCACCACTCTACATTCAACTTCTTCTCTTTGATTACACTTCACAGGCAAAAAACCACTGTAGTGTTAATGTTCTCAATTTGATGTATGATAGAATGTAGATGGAAAGGTGGTGGCGGTGTAGCTTTTTGCAGCACACCAGGACTCCACACAAATTATTCTACACAGTAAATTGTCTGTTTTGTTTATTATAAATAGTGTATGTCTCTTGTTATTATTACTGCTGTTCCAGCCACATTTTCCCTTTTCGCTAACTACAGCTAAAATGGCTCCCGGCCTCAGGACGCCAAGTTGAGCATGACGGGGGAAGAGAATTAGCGCCCCACAATGCCTCGGACGTGCTCCCCACTAAGGTAAAGCCATTTGCCCCCAACCACGCCTGCACCTCGATTATACACTTCCCCATGATTCTAACACGCCTACTAGAGAGGCTCAGAACAGACCCACATCAGTTTATACTGACAGTACAGTCAACACAATGGGGATGGCACATATTTTCTGCTATGTGGTTGGATCAGTGCCTATTGTGGGGGAATTGTGGTGTTGTTGTTTTTTTTCTTTAAGCCTGGAGCAGTAGAATCAGCTCATTTAGCTTCCCCAAAATGCTCATGGTTTGGTATTTTGTCTGAAACTTAATTTGTAGAAAATCTAGTTCTTTTCTGGGTTATTCATTGGATTTTTTTCATATCTTTTGAGTTAAAGTTTTTGTCCCAAATTCTCAAGATAAAAGGTTTTAGTGCCTTTAAGGTTTGTTTTCTGGCAGTATGCTTTCAAGTCGAGCTGGAAATAAATTTCCAAGTGTTTTCTCACGCAGTTAGAGGGAAGAATGGCTGACATTTGCCTTGGCTTGTTCTCTGGCATTTAGTCTTTTTGAAGCACTTCCAGTTGGCGAGATGAGGCGCTCCAACTGTTTGTGAATACTTAAGAAGGGTGCAGAGCTGTCCAAAAGTAGGGCAATGATCTCGTAGGTGAGTAACCAATGCGTCCAGCTCACATCCACCTCAACTTTGTCTACTACCACCATTTCAGCTTCACAAGATCATAGATTCCACTGCAACACACTGATTTTAGTTTTAACTCTTAAGAGAAGGGTTATTGATTCAGATTGCTTCTGCAAATTGCTCATAAAAGAAAAACATACATTTTTTTTTTTTTTTTTTTTTAGTTCTCTCAGGGTAAAGATTGTGCATGTTTTTGAACGATGTTGTCCACCTACAGATTTGAATAAGCAAAATGAACTCTTTCAGCTTTAAGGTTTTAAATCACCCAAAAATAAAATTTCTGTCATTAATTACTCGCCCTCATTTTGTTCCAAACCCGTAAGACCTTCGTTCATCTTCAGAACACAAATTAAGATATTTTTGATGAAATCCGAGGTTTCTGAACCAGCCATAGGCAGCAACGTCATTACAACCTTTATGGGCCTTGAAAGTTTCAAAGACGTAGTTAAAATTGTCCATGTGACTACAATGGTTCAACCTTAATGTTATGCAGCGATGAGAATACTTTTTGTGTGCAAAAAAACAAACAAAAACAATGACTTTATTCAACAATTTTCCTCTGTTCAACGTTGTTCAGTGCAGAACTTCTGGGTTCTACGTCAGAATGCTGGCTCATTATTTGCTAGCTCCAGGGACAGCATCACACGCATGCGTCGTGGTGCTCACGTGAACAGCGTCGGCCAATAATGAGCCAGCATTCTGATGTACAACCCACAAGCGCTGCATTGTGATACCTACGTGATCAGCGTAGGAGACTTTGTTGAATAAATTGTTGAATAAAGTCGTTATTTTTGTTTGTTTTTTGCGCACAAAGTTATCGTCACTGCATAACATTTAGGTTGAACCATTGTAGTCACATGGACTATTTTAACGATGTCTTTACTACCTTTCTGGGCCTTAAATATTTAAATGACGTTGCTGCCTATGGCTGGTCCAGAAACCTCTCAGATTTCATCAAAAATATCTTAAATTGTGTTCCAAAGATGAACAAAGGTCTTACGGGTTTGGAACGACATGAGGGTGAGTAAATAATGACAGAAATTAAATTTTTGGGTGAACTAAACCTTTAACATGGGGACCATCTGCTGCAAATTTGTCAAATTTATTTTGTGGGTATTTGAAAGCCCTTGTTTAAGGTAAGCCTATTCAGTCAGTCACTTGATACAAAACCATTTCCTATCTGAAATCAACAGTTTTTCGAAATCACAGTTTGTGCATTCCTTTAATTATCAAAAAGGCTTTAACCTCAAATCTTTCATTCAAATTTTTGAATACTTTAGTTGATATATATTGATATGTTACACACACCTTCCAATGACTTAAAGCTTCACCTCTGATTGATTTAAAGGTGCTTTGAAAAGCTGGGCAGTGGAGCATTATTTGTGGATAAACTATGATTGTAGATAATCCAGAACTGAAATATTCAGTGATTCAGGGAAGTTCAAGTATCATTGATCATTTTTTTCTAGGTCTGAATGGGCAACTTTCATTGTGGTCTATGTAATTGTCTTAATGTCTGAATCTGAATCCTAACGTTTTTTATTTGCAAACTGGCTTTAGTGCCATGATCTTTGTATTTTCTTCTTGTAAAGTTCAATAAATGATGCTTAAAGCGTATTTATGGTCTTGTTTTATTCATTTATTATTTTTTGTTTATTTTCATGTTCAATTAATCTATGTATTAAGATTTTGTCAAATCTAAATGCATAACAATCTGAACAGTACAGTAACTTTTGCTTGTGCGCGCGACCTTACAAGCGATAAACCAAACTTGCTTGAATCTGTATCTCATATGATTTTAGTTTAGGAACGTGCTTTTGTTTACTTAACTCGATAATCAAAGTTGACTCTCTTCGTTCTGTGCCGTTCTTAAATCCCGCCCATCACCTTTTGGGAAATGAAGTTGTGACCAAATACTGCAGCAGTTAGTCACTCATATTGTGCGCCGTTACTTGTATAGTTTGGGCAGCAGCTGTCAGCTCATCGGCCGGTGGGAGCAGGGTCTGTCTTCTCTCTAAACCTTCACGGGACTCTGATTGTACGGCACAGGGCGTGTATGTTGAATTAAGAGGTAAATAATTAGGTTGTGTAGGTTGAGGGGATACCAAGCACCCCAGGAAAGACAGCAAAATGACAGCGATTGAAACGCAAGTGCAATATAGTTCTTACATGATGACTACGACTGAGGAATACATGAACCAAGAAAACGACTGGGATCGAGACCTGTTACTGGACCCGGCCTGGGAGAAGCAGCAGAGGAAGGTCAATTCTCACTTTTTGATTTTCTTCATAAAGGTTTACGTGAAGTGAATTAGTGTACAGCCAAAAGAAAATAAGATATTAGACTATATACACGTTTTAATCGTGTTTTAGCATGCCTACCTTGTGGACTGAAGCAATATCGTAAGGTTAAAAGACTCTTAATGAAATTACTTTGCATTGCAGTCGCCTGTCTGCACTGCACTGGTATCGTCGAATCTGCACGTCGTATACCGCTTTGTAACATGGACCAATCAGCTGTAACCTCGTTGATTGTCGAACTTTAATTTCAACCATTGATTTAAAAATAATTATTAAATTAAAAAAATTAAGATCATCCTAATGCTATCATTACTGCAAGTAAGTAAACATTGGTTAAAAATTAATTTAAATTAGGAAACCAGAAATGTTCATTTATGTACTGTCATTAGGTACTCAAATATATAACAAATAGCAATGAATCAAATCACATATATGATATTTGTATGTGAAATCGTTTTACTTCACAGTAATTGAGAATCTTTTATTTGCCTGTTAATAGCTTTGAGCAGAAATTAAGTAGACTACTTGCACTTTAGAGCACTGTGCTGCAGCCACATTGCATTAGACAACTACACCAAAGTGACAGTAACAGCTGAACAGATGAGGCAACAGTTAGAGAGGAGAGTCAGTGTTCAAATTGGAGGAAGTGGTTAAGCAGCACTGAGAGCTGCAAATAGATTCTACAACTAAAAATACTGGCCCCATTCTGTCCCCTTAACCCATTAATCCAAGGGTTCCAGTTTGTTTATCATTGTCTGTTGATTGTAATTAAATGATTTGCAGTTCATGTTGATTGGTGTTCATTAAAGAGCATGAAACATGACTACAATGCAGATTTATTTACATCTCGTTGGAAGCATACATCTTTCTTGCTGAGTGCACTCATACCAAACTGAAACTCACATTATAGTTTTGTGAGTTTCAGATTGGTAGGTCAACTTGGTCTAAGAAACCAAGTCTAACTCTAAGAAACTGGCACTTTCCATGAATAGGGTACAACATATATCCTGATGGTGCTTAACCTTTAAAAAACCCAACCCTATTGTGTAATGCAGTTTAAGCCAGCCACTTAAAACTAGCTACTATTATCAATTATGTTTGCATTATATGAAATTATGAAACATAATAGTTCTCCCAGCACAAAAAAAAAACACACACACATTATTGTGTCTTTAATGCTTAAAAAATAATTCAGGTAAAAATCCAAAGTGAACAATTTCAAAAAAACAATTTGTGTGTGCTTGCTTTGTCAATTACTTATAGAATGAAATCTCCCAATGAAAATGTGTAATTTTGTATATTCACTGTATAGGGTGATAATGTTTTTGGTGTTTTGGTTTTTGCAGTAGCGTTCTCTGTTTTTGTCATACTGTTGATGTATTTTTATGTGTACTCCTGGTAGCCTAGCCTAGCGATCACGTTGTGGAAGCTGAAGGGGATCTAAATAAAGCTTGAACACTTTTTTTGCATTTGAATGTGAGCAATTCTGTCAACGAAGAACTGTCACGCTGCACAATTCTCTTCACAAAACTTGACTCAATGGTAATATATCACAGGCTTCCTTTTACTTTGGTTTGTTATTCCTGTAAGTCTTCCTGCTTCAGTGAATTTCTTTTTAGCCCTAAGCATCCTTGTTTTTCTTGGTCTCTTTACCACCTGTTAGGACTAGTTTATTAGATGGAGAGAACTCATCTGTGCAGTGTTGCATAACTTTGTGTCAGATCCTGCATGGGAAGCCAAGTGGACCATTGGGCTTTGATAAAGAGAGATTCTGAGACGTGCTGAATATTGTTGTTTAATTTTTTTTATTTGAAATAAATTTCTATGTTGTGTCCCAGAACCTTTCTACTCTCCTTGCACCGTGGCTCAAACTGATGACTTTACAGGCATGTAGTCCAGGCCTCGTCCAGTTACCTACATCAGCTACATGGAAAATGTCACTGAGTTCTCCAACATGAGGGTTTCATAGACACTATATGGACACTTCCATGGTCTCAAAGCATTGCACTCAAAGCACCTTTTTCTTTTTTAGTATAATGCACAGGTATGCATATTTCATATAATTAAATGTGTATTTCGTCCATCTTTTTATGGGATCTGCAAATCAAACAAGTTAGAGGAAATCTTTTATTTTTTCCCCATTCCATTAAGGAACCCTAAAGCCACAGAACCTGAGGGATTCAGATAGGTGTGCACATTCTTCAGGCACACGGTAGGGGTGTGGGATGGGGGGGTGAAGAGAGTCATGAGTACGATCGAATGGCAGTTGCTATTCCAGAAGAGGTGTCCTTGTAGGGGAGCTTCTATAAACTACCTAATGAAAGCATGGGGGTGGGAAAGGGGTAGTTTACTGGAGACCAGGTCAGACAGGTAAATCTATTTCAGGCTGGATTTGACTTTCATGGCTGTTTAAATGAGAACAATAAAAGAGGGTGGAACATAGGACAATAATAATAATTGGTGCAGGTCACAAGTTTCTGTTGGTCAATCCCCTTCCCACTCGATCTATTGATTTCTGCTTTAGGTGTCTTCCATATGTTTTATACCACCTTAAAGTTAACGAAAGGTGCTACGGTGAATTTAAATAGCTTATATTGCTTTTGCTGTGCAAACAAAAGTCAAATGCGATGCCATAGCTAGGTTATAGCTTTAAATGCCAGGCCTTCAAACTGTAAATATCATGTTACCCAGAATCCTATGTTCAGCCCTTTCACCTGAATGTGCCTCAACCCTACAATTTCTCACAACCACATTTATTCCCTCTATAGTTTCTGTCAGAAATTATGATGTGACATCCTGGTCAAAACGTAAGGAAACATATAGGTATTTTTGCTAGGGTCAATTGCAGTGGCGTTATACCTTTACAGCTGGGTAGTGTTCCCATTATCTAACTAAAACTATATATAAAAAACATTAAATATATGTAATAACTAACTTACTTTATTTCAGCTAGTTGACCAGGTAAAATTTCTCCATCTTTTTTTGTTTAGTTTAACTTGAAGTACTAAAATAACTAAAACTAAAAAAATTAAAACTAATAAATAAAATTAACTGAAACTACTAATAAAACCCCCCACAAAATTACTAAACTAAAATTAAAGTGAATACAGAAAATATACAAATAAAATCTAATTCAAAATATGAGCAAAAATCATCTGTAGATCTTAAATAATATTTTTTATCAGCTGTTTTCATCCCCTAATAAAAACAAGACTATAAGCCTTAGGTGAAGGTCTTTATTGGGTAAAATATTTGGGTAACACTTTATTTTAGTTTATTTGTTACACATGTAGTTACTATTATTATTACTATATAATTACTGTAAATTATGCATATTTGCATGCAACTAACCCTAAACCACACCCTAATCCTGAAGTAAGTGCATGTAGTTAATTATTATTTCTCAGTCCTTAAATGTATACCATTACACTGTAACATGGACACCTTAATATAAAGTGTAACTAATATTTGCAATTATCCACCTTTTTTAAGGGTATATACGTACCTGTGAATGGATCAATATAGCCAAATATGCAAATGTGTTTTGTTTACTAAAACATTAAATGTTAAAATAATAAATGGATTTAAATTTAATTTATAAAAATAAATTTTTTATAAAAAAATTTTTAATTTATAAAAATATACAATAACATGTAGAATATATTCTAAATATCTGTGTGGGCATGTGTCGATGGGTGAATTGCGCTGTCTTCGCTTTAAACAATGCCCTGTCATGATAGCAGCGAGGCTGCAGTCAGCTGACTCATAAATGCAAAGCTTTTGCACAGATGCATGCATGGTTAAAAATGATGATGTAACTGGAGTGCCATTGGATCACAAGGCTAAAATGATGGCTCAGTAATAGAGACTGTATTTGCTGTGGTCATCGTAGTAGGCTACAGTATCAGAAATTCGAACAAGAACCTCGAACAAGAAGATTCAGGGAAAAAAATCAGTTTCAGTCTTTGTGTGTTTTATTTTTTTCAGGCTATTTTAGTTAGAGTCTGCATCATCTAGTCTCAGTTTCTTAGTTCAGATGTCCATTAAGCATTAACCTTTCATTAATACTCAGATCTGAAGCTATTTAAAAGCTATTAATCCAAGCTGACTGCTTTGTATATGAAAAATGTCAAAAGGAGTACATGCAGATTTTTAAAATGTTTTATTGACTTAAAGAGTGGATAAATCATCACTGCTAAAGATATAAGCCTGTGAAAACGCAATGAAACCATTACTGACATGCCAAGTTATTTCTGTACGACCAACCTGTTGCTTGACTAAATATTTATTCTCTCATTCGCAATGTAGTGAGTTCA